TGTATTACTTTTTCACGTGTACTTTTATGTAGTTTGTAATATATATCTGGTAAGTTCTAATTAGTTCAATTTTATCAATCAAGCCATTTCTTATGCCTTTTCAACTTATTTTTGGTGTATTCTTCATGTGCAGATTCTAGTTATGAGCTAGCTTTACTTTCGCGTCCCTTGAGGATGAAATTCCCACATGTAACCATATATAAGATTATCAAGCCTCCTGTGGTATGTCATGTAATCTGGCCTTATCTTAACTTGAATCATTTTGGAACTGTTTTAGTCTTATTGTGAAGTGCTTGAATCCCATCTTAAGGTGAAAACAACATACGGATCTTAATATTAATAATATAAATATAAATATATGTATATTTCTTTTAAATTGATGGTGTTTTGGTTACAGTAGTTTAGCTGCTTCTTTTCTTTTTTTTTCACTTCCTAGCTTGGTTGAAAGTAAAGTTCCTTTTTAGACAAGGAGTACACCACAACATGAAAGAAAAATTATCTCACTATCGCAAATCTAAACTGGTAAAACTTTTATCTTTTACTTTCCAAATACAGTTTGGATCCTTGTACGCTTACACCTTGCATCTTGACTGGATGCATGTATGTTGTTTTGGTAGGGATTCTAGCGAAGCAAATTGCCTTTACTTTTGTTATCCTAAGAGAAAAATTATTGGCGAATATAATTTTACAGTCCATGATGCTAAAAAGAAATTAAGTTTTCTTGCTGGAGTTTCCTAGGACAGTTGTCATGACATCAAAATGCTTAGTGAGACCACGCATTCCATGACCCAATAAATATATGCTGCACACCTTTGCATAATTTTCTTTTTCTTTCTTTCTATCTGCATCAGTTCTCCTTATTACATTAAAATTGATCTAACAATAAAGCCAATGTTTGCATTTTGCATTCAACAATCTTCGTTTGTTTTATAGGCGCAGAAGGTATATCTCTCCTTGCATGCTTACCTGATTTACATGCGTTTTGAATAAAACATAAATGGTGTACCTGATAAAAACTAATGAATTTTCATTATCTACTCGTTAACTGTGTGCTTGTCTAGTAATTTTCTCCACTGTTAAAATTATTCGTCATGCAGCTGTTTATAGAAGAGTTATGGTATTATATCATGTTATGCCTCTAAATTAGTAATCCTGACATTGTTTGTTGATCTATGGGCGAACATGGAAGAAATATTGGGGAATATGGTTCCTGACTATAGGGTAAAAAATTCTGTACTTTTTTTTTCTCTTATAAATATAAATGCCGGTACTTCATTGATTGATCTAATTGCTCATGTATTTAACCTTTTCTTTCAGAATGCAGTTCCAAAATTTGGAACTTGTGTTGTGTTTCTTACCATATGCTAATTGATAGTTTAGAATATGTAGCTAAACATGCTACTTAGCTGGCAGGAAAGGGGTAAGCAGTTTGATTAAGCTGAGTATATATAATTCAGCCTTGCTTTCATCTGAAAATAGAAATTTACTTTGCTGTTGTGTGCATTGTTGCTGCAGCCAACATTCCATTGCTTTCAAAATGGTGAAAAGGTATTTGAGGTTGATTTATACGAATTGCGCATTGCTTTTGAACAGCTCTACAGGTAATTCATTTCTTCATTATGTTACTTTTTCGTGCTTATGAACATTTCGGAATGCAGTCGTATGTTAATTTTGACAGTTCTAGTTGAAGTTTTCTCTGAATGTGATCACTCTATATGTTAATTTTTATTTTTATCTTTCTGATATATGGATGAATTTCTATATCGTAGTTACTAAACCCTATTGTTGATGTGTACTTGCTACTGAAAGTTATGTCGTCCCAGTCGGAACCACTCAACCTACGGGTTCATCTGGGATGGAGGAAAGGAGAGCTGAACAACTTGTCATACAAGCTAAGAAAGAAGAGAATGACAAAGAAGTTGCAGGAGGGTTCAAATTGGGAAGTGGGAGGGCATTATCGCAACGGAAAGGTGCTGCGACCTTGTCACAACAGAGAGGTGGCCTTGTTGAGGCAGTTGAGAGTAGTACTGCACCTTCACTTCATGATGTGATGCAGGCTGTTGAATCTTT